TATGATGTAATTAAATCAATATAATTAAAACATGTAAAAGTCAACTCTAGTTTGAAGTAAAGAGAATTGAGGGTCCAAAATTGCGGAAGGTTTTGCCAAATACAGCTAAGGGTATCTATTCCTGGGGTAGAAAATCCTTAGTATTTCGAACAATTCAAAGTTTTGTATACATATAATTTATAACTATAATTTATAGGTATGACCATATCAATGATATGTCATGTCAACACAGAAGTGATGTGAGACTTACAATGGAAAATCGATATAACTAATACTTCATTTTTGTTGGTTTGTAATAAAAATAAACTACGATTACTGCCATCGCATGCTATTTTGTTTCATGAAAGATCCAATTCGTTAATGTAAAATTAAGTAACAAGTTAATCATGTTAGCCATTCTTAGTCCCAAATTCTTCTTTTTTCACCATTTTTTAAAGCAATATTTTAGAAAGAAAAATTAGTTTAGATATCTCGTGTCTACACAACTTACCTATATAGTAAAACATGATATTAAAATAAATTTTCTAAAACAGTTAATTCCTATTTAATTCATATTCATCCTTTTGTGCTTCCCTTGGTATGCTTCCATCTATCAAGCGCCGTTATTTCATTAATAAACAATAAAATTCCAATAAATTTCAATCAAATAAAAGTACCAAATTGGATTCAAAGCTAAGAAATATATGAGTCTATAAAATTTGCTTTTCGTTTATAGTATTAAATGTTATCTATTACTTAATACAATGCAATGTTTAATTTTAAGTTTTTATTGCATACTGACATCATCTTACCCGTCTGTGTTCACAAACGCTTTGGTTACTATTGTTTTAAATAAAGGCAATAGTAGTATTTCGCTGTTCAATAGTCATAAATCGATTTAACTGAAACAAATCCGGGTCACAAACCAAAACCGAGGGAAACACATCAACTATAAGAGGAAAACAACGGAACAACAGAACACTGAACTGCTACAAAAACAAACGCCAACATACACAGAAACGGACTATTTGATAACAACTGCCATATTCCTGACTTGGTACAGGACATTTTAATAAAAAATGGTGGGTTGAACCTTGTTTTATGGCTAGCCTAACCTCCCGCTTATATGGTAATGTTGAAAGTACCGCTAAAATGACAACATTACGTGACAGGAATACAGTACAAATAAATGCAGGACAGAGAAATACATAAATAAATAATATAATAGTACATTTCATATGTAAACCACAGAATAACAACGAACACCTAAAATTAATTTACGACAGTACACAAGTACAGCATTATGAACTGTGCGTCACACGAATGTTTCAACGCCACAAAAAATGACGTCACAGGTAAATTTCTAAAAAGAGAATATAAAATTGGGATTAAGCTTGTAATGGTGTTATTTTATGTATGTATTTTCTAACCATTACAAGAATATTAATATACAATCTACATATTATTATTCCTGAAATCACAAATGTTAATTTAATAAATAATAATAACACTTGATAAATTTCGTGCGTTATAGAGTATGATGTATTTTTTATTTTATAAATATTTAATGATTTACTGGCTCTTTAGAATATGTTTTAATTTATATAACTTTCACATTACATCAACAGAGTGTATGTTTGGTTCCACTTGCGATCATATCAGTAAAGTATTATAATGACCAGGTTTTTATATTAAAGGCCTTCTAAAACAGTTTTGCACTTTCAGCTATGAATACATATGCTCGACATTACACCAAACTAGTTAAAGATACTAGGATTATTACATGGTAAGCCTGATGCGCGTTTTTTTTCTACTCACGACTCATCAGTGGCACTCGAAACGAAACAGTTCCAATTCTAAATCATATACGAAGTAGAAAAGTATTGCAAACCAAACATTCTCAAAAAGTGTGCCCTTTCGATTTCAATTATCTAAAAAAACAAAGAAGCATGAAATGCATACATTTATGTGGAAAAAAATGATTTAATTGCTTAATTGCACTTTGTATTGTGTATCCAAGATTTTATTTCCGTAATAGTTTCAATGTGGAATTTTTTTTTTCATCAGTTATGCAGTAATTTTATAATCTATAGTAAAAATTTTAATTCATTGATAAAAAAAAGACAAAATCCTATTGAGAAAGTCCTGCTCCATTTGAAGGCAGAAACATATTTATCAGATTTTTATAACAATAATTTGAGTTGATTCTGGTAAGTGCCACTGAATTAAATGAACATTACTAAAGAATAATGTTCAAATTCAAATCGTACCTACATGACTTAGATGAAATAGATTTATATAAATAAAACAGTTCGGAACCAAACAGAAATAAGGCGGACACAAAACAATTAACTGTTGAAGATTCTGAGAAAGTTTCGATACATTTTGATGAGTAGTTTAGGAGCAGTTTCAGATATGAAATGAGTACCTCTATTTTAAGCAATGGCAAAGTTCATTCATGCTTAGGGAAACATCGAAAATAATTTGGATAATAAAATAGGATGTGCACATTATATTGTATAATGATAAGTCCGACAACAACTCATGAAATTCTGATTAGGGGCTAAGGAGGAGAAGCAAAACCAAATAAGAGTCGTCTTGTACGTATATGACAAAGTGTGTATTAGAACTAAGTAAATTCCAAAAATAATTCGGGTAAAGGAATGAAATAGGCGATGCATAATACACCATAGTAGTAAGACTCTGTGAATAATCACAAAATGGTGTCAAGTAGAGCTGCGAATACAAAAGTGGGTAAAAAAGTGGACGGACACTCCGTCAAGATATATTGACTGCTTCGTTCTATTGATGTCAATATTTAATCATTATCAGCGGTACATCGAATAGAAATATGAGAATGTACGTACTATTGGCCACTATGTTTACTCATATACAAATCATTCTGATTTGTCTAATGCTATTCCAAGAAAATGAAAACTGTTATAAAATTCATGCGTCCGAAGCGCTTTCTTGGATTTACCTTCAGCAGAAACGCTCAAAGCCGAAAATATTCTTCAGCACCAGCATATTGAGTATAAATCTCACAGTTGAAATATATTTAAGAACTTGCGTTTTCTTTTTATCATATTGTAATTGACAAAGAGTTGCTGCCTACAAGCATAGTGGTACAGTTTAAATCAGCCAGTCGAATATTTTTCAGAAGCCATCATGATTTAGTTGGCCGTTTGGAATAACTGTGATACAGATGATATCGGAGCATTATGATCCAATTGTCGTAGCAACAATCCAGTCCGCTTTTCCTCGATTGAGAATTCACAGAATGAGACTTATCACCAAATTTGCACTTGCCGGCGGATGATACATGTGGAGCAGGATCTTCTTATTCTTCAGGAAACCTGAGTTCAACCACGGATTTTGTCGGGCTCCTGTTCTTCAATTTTAAATTTTAACAACTTGTACAACATACATTCACACAAATTGATACAGGATTCAGAAACAAGCACAGATGTTGTATTTTCTACTTCATAAGGTACATTAAAGGCCAATCAAATCATCTTTAGGGTAGGGTAAATAATACAAAAGTTCTAAATTTTATCAAAATAATTCCTTAAAATAAGCCTTCTCTTTTGCTTTAAAAATAGAAAAAATCAAAACAAAACAATACCAACAATTCAATACTTATATTTTTAGTAATTTAAATCTTGTTATTGCAAAATTGTTTACTACAAAATCTCTTTATGAGAATTAAATATTTATTTTCAGATAGATATTTTTTTCTAATTTTGAAAAAAAAAAAACATATAACGATATACATTATACTTAGAGTATAATTTTAACAGTATGATATTGGGTTTTAAGTTGCTCAAATTTCATGTTTTTTGCAAAATGGTGCTTAGCTGGTAAACAAAAAAACCTTAATATTAATTGCTTCCGGTTATATAATTATGGCATGTTTGTTCGTAAAGTTATCGCAAGGCAAATCGTCGTCATTCGGCAAATTCTGGAAAATATACGTAGACGTCGCGATTTCAATAAAAAAGGAACACAGTAGAATGAAAACATTGATAAATGTGTTAGGAAACAGAAAGAACAGGAAGAGAAAAGACAGGCGAAAGATACCAAAGGGACATTGAAACTCATAAGTCGAAAATAAACTTGTATATGCTCAATGAAAAGTGCCACAAACTTACGAACTAATTCACAAGTTAGTGTCTGTATAAAATACTAAATACAGTTTTGTCGTACAAAAATATAAGTATGCTATTAACAAATCACAGAAGAAATTTGATGTTCCTACATTTTAATTCATATTAAATATAGTTGAGTTGCAGTATTAATTGGGTTGTTGCGATTGATATTTTGTTTTAAAGAAAAAACGTTTTATACAATCCTGTTTTCTACGCGGATAAGAATTATAACATTACATTTATTATATTATATGTATTTTTAGCCCTCGGTCGTTTCAGTCCTTATTAAAGCCTTCGGCTCACGAACTGATATCATAACCTAGGGCTGATAATACATCTCATTTGAAAACTGTCTTATCATAATCTGATATAATTGAATATATTTTAAGTAATTAAAAATATCATTGTGTAAATAGTTATTATATTTTGGAGTAGAATAACTACGTAATAAAGTAAAATTTGAGATATATTATCATTCACGATGTAAAGTAAATAACTGTGAATATTTTCCTTGGAGATAAAATTATTCAATCTTTATCACTAAATTAAATTCTATATATACAGTAAAAATAGCTCTAGAGTATTATAAAAAGAAAAACCGAAAAATCTGTAAAAAGATGACAAAACTGTATTTTTTTTAAATTGTCAATATTGCCCAACTAAGCAAGACGTGATAGGGTTTTACTTTCTTAAAAATCTTTAAGATTATAAAATCAGCACCACAACAGACGTCAATACGTCATGATTTACCTTGACCTCTCAGATGAACTGTTATTTTGTTTAGAGTACTGAAAGTATAAAATCAGCAAATTGAGTATTCAACAATGCATTTCCAAAAAGACAGCTTCTTGTCAAGCCAGAGGAACGACAAATATGGAATACGAAACAAAACAGGTAAATTATTTTGTTATATTTCATCTTGTGCAAGCTTTAACATAACAAATATGCATTTGAGAGTATGTTCGGCTTTGAAAATATGTCACAAAATGGTTGCTTAAAGATCAATAAAACAAATGTAGCACTCAACATTTTGAGCTGTGGATGGTTTCTGCGTTTGAACTCTTGCAGCCATGTAATTGTGAAACTTTATTGTTTAACTTTTCTTAGTTTTTAAATCTGTGCATTAGCACGTATTGAACAAGAAAAGCAGTTTACGAAATAAATAAAAAAAAACCTATGTAATTGAAGGTACCAACGGCAGTTGTAGAAGTAGATTCAAATGAACACGTGTCAGATAAAGCAAAAGAAGAAGATTTAGACCCTTGGGCTGTCAATACAAAAGAAACTGACGATGGAAAAGAATGGAAAGGTCAGTGCTTTACTTTCAATGAGAATAATTGTTTTAATAATCAGAGTGATATGACTTTCTACCTATCACAATCTTATTTAAGCATAGAAGGCTGCATTTAAATTTTATTATTATGTTTTGCTAAAGCGACCAATATTCTTTACTTAAACTTGTTGTACAGTACCACATTTTCATGTGCCTGGCTAAAGTCAGGAACTATGTCAGTCGTTGCCGTATGTCTTATGTTAATGTCATGGTTATTTTTTATGTCAGATCTTTAATTGTTTTTTGTTAAATATATCCACAACTTGCATACACTCTGGGCGATTAAGAGTTTGACAAATTGTATAGACACATGTCTACTGTTGAATATTGTATGTTGCCCTCTGTATATATTTTGGTTGATTTTTGTCATTCCTTTGGGCAGATGTTTCATTGAAGTATACCCAACATCTAATTTTTTCATCTTATTGTTTCAGATATGTCAAGTAAAGACAGGTCAGTTGACCTCATCACTGTCCTAATCAAGATTGCATTTATTTTTGGATTTTTATACCTTTTCATTTGTTCACTCGATTTTCTCAGTGATGCTTTTCAGCTGGTTGGAGGTACGTAATGATTGTAAATAAGTGAAATTGTTAATAATAAAATATAATATTTTTTTTTATTTAAGAATCGATGCTTTTTTTATAATTTTATTGGAGTGTATAAGCGTTAACCGAAGAACATATGCATGAAGCGCGAGAGTGCTTCATATTAAACATGTGCGCACTATCAACGCTTTTACAACCTTATAAAATTATAAAAAGAAGCATTTAATTCTTATAGTTACATTTTTATGCTACAACCTATCTTCGCTAGCTAAGGGTTATGATCCGGTCACCCTACTCTTCGTCCGCAGATTACGATAGCATGTGTGTGCCATCTAGAGACCGATAGAAGTCACGCCCATTCCGACTACATCATTTTTTACCAATGGCAGCACTTGAACTCTTCAGTTTGGAGGTGTAACAATGATTGTGTACAGTGTTTACAAATTTCGTGAAGCAGGAATCGCAAGTATACATTGATTTTCTAGCATGTGTACGAGAAACATACTAAAGAACTTCAGACAGTTGATTAAGAACTTTAAAAGTGTCATTAGATATGGTCCTGTGTTTTGGGGGTAAAGACTCGTTGTACAATCTGCACGTGGCAAATGTTTATTTGCATTTTCTACATTAACAAGTGACCACCGTAAGGGTTTTTTTGATTGGATGCAGCCAGTTACAATTGCGACCAATGGAAATAATTACCTTGTGGACCCTAAATTCTAACTTAATCCGCCGAGGGAAAAGAGTAGGGCGACCGGATCATTACCCTTGGCTAGCGAAGATGGCTACAACCCTACAATTAAGAGTTATTTAAAGCTCTTCGTTTGTTTTTGTAAGCATTGTTTTTACATTATCACGAATAGCACGTGCAGTGATAGCAGTTGTATTTTATACGAAAATAAAATGTGTTGGAGTGCCTCACGATTGTTGTCAGCCAATTAAAAATACGGATTTTAACAAATCATACATGTAATGTAATCATTTACTCTTAGAACATCCACTGTTACACAACAGTAGGGTGTACATTTTTATTAACATACACTTTGCAAGACATATATTTTTAGAGTAACTTCTGTTTGTAAAATCAAGACTATTTATTGTTGCACCAGACATTTTAAAATATAATAACACATTATTATTCTCGTGCGTCCGAATCACTTTTCAAGCTCAGACCTAAACATCAGATAGCCACGGATGTATAATTCGGAGAAACGTTCTGAGATATATCATCAAAAGAGACATAACAAGAATAGCCAAATTCTTCTAAAGTCACCTTTGCCTGGGGAGTTGGAACCTTAGTTTCTTAATAATTTCATAATTCAAGTTTTGTCTAAATTGAACTAAAATTCATTGTTAAACATCAATTTTGTCATCATCCATTTTTCAAGAAAACGAGAACAGTTATCTATACAACTTAGTATAACAGTTTAGTATCCGTTTAAATTGAACTCAAATCTGTAGTCTCCATTAAAACTTTCACATTGAAAGTTACTTAGATAAAAAGAAGAAGTTAAATGTAATGCCAGACCATTACAATATCGTATTAAAACTGTCGAGTATACGGTATATAAGATATATATCTTGCAGGGAAAACAGCAGGAAAGGTTTTCAGAGAGAACGAAATTCTTACCAACCCAGTAGCTGGTTTGATGATGGGAGTTCTGGTTACTGTTTTGCTACAGAGTTCCTCCACTACAACGTCGATAATTATCACTATGGTAGGGTCTGATAGTAAGTTTTGTTTGATACAAAATTAAATGAAGATAACTCATTCAAAATTCAGTATGTAAATTTTGGATAAGAAAGCTTCCCACAAGCCGAGTAAAGACATTTTTGGATGACATAATTGATGCAAGCAATGTAAGAATATAATGACAATAAGCAATGTTTAACAGTTACAACTGAACAAAATTCTTAACTTGCTGATTTTTATATAGAAATTTATCTAACTACTAACTAAATCCTTTCAGGCTATGTAAAAGTAAGAGTAAAGGAGCTTTTTGTGCAGAATGAAAAGAAGCTAGCTTTATCCTTTAATTTAACGTTCCGCTATATAGATGATGTCATTTCACTAAATTACTCAATGATTTGTTGGTTACTATGTTGAACTCATTTATCACATCGAACTTGAAAGAAAGGATACAGTTAAGTCTGCCTCATAATTTTACCTTACTCCTAGAAATTGACAATTAGGGTCGGTTGAGAACAAAACTTTACGACAAAGGGGATGATTTCAGCTTCCCAATTGTGAATTTTCCATTTCTATGCAGCAACATTCTAACAGAGCCTGCATATGGAGTATATATATCTCCCAGTTGATACAATGTTTAAGAGCTTGCATTTCCTATCATGCTTTCCTTGACAGAGAGTTGCTGCTTACAAGGAAACTATTAAACCAAAGGTTCCAAGTGGTGAAGTTGAAGTAATTCCTTCCAAAATTGTACAGACGCCATCACGAGTCTGTTGATCGTTATGGATTATCTGTTTCACAGATGACGACGGGTATCTTCCAATTGTCGGTAACCACAGTCCCGTTTCCTTTTCCTCGATGTCCGAATGAGACTGATCACAGAGTGTGTACTTACATGCGCACGGGTGCAGCATGTGGAGCAGGATCTGCTTACCCTTTCGGAGCATTTGATATCAGTGACGGTTTTTGGTTGTGTTCGTGTTGCTCAGTCTTTAGTTTTCTATATTTAGTTTTGTATACTGTTGTTTGTAATTTGAAATCGACTTACGAGTTTCTTTATCCTTTTGGTATCTTTTACATCTCTTCTCTTAGAAATGCTTACTACGGAGATTGAGTAAGAATTTATGCATTTCATTTTAGTTATTCCAATCAAGACCGCTATACCAATGGTAATGGGAGCAAATATTGGAACATCAGTTACAAACACCATAGTTTCATTGACACAGTCGAGTGATCGAGAAAAGTTCCGGAAAGCATTTGGTGGTGCAACAGTGCTAGATATGTTTAACTGGTTGTCTGTTATAATTCTTCTACCAACAGAAATAGCGTTTCATTATTTATATCATCTGACAAGCGCCATTGTTGGAAGTTTACATTCAACAGAATCTGGCAAGAAAAACGACATGCTACAAATAATAACAAGACCCTTTACAGAGCTCGTTGTTCAGGTAAACATAAACATATAGACTACATATTTATATACACGCAGTTCTTAGCTCGTTTGATTGTGTTTGCTAATAGTATATTAATGGCATATTTAAAATAAAAATAATTGAACAAGGAATGCGATAGGTTGGTTATACTAAGAGGTTTGTCCAGAAAACAAGTTAAGGACACTGTAAAAGAGATTAAGATATTTTAGATAGGGTCTCATAGTCTAGTCTTCACGATTCAATGGAACGTCCCTTATATTATTGGACGCTCCGGTGTATTTATAAATCCCGCACAGTTAACCTGATGCTCTTCAGCTGTTGTGCTTTACTGCTAGTATCGGGAACTCTATTATAAACGCCAGTGAAACCTTGAGGTCATATCTCTGACAGTTGAAATGTGTTATTTAGATCAATCAAAGTATATTAAATTCGAACAGTATCAACTGTAATAGTTATACGAGTGTGACAAGATTTTTTGTTAGGGAAATTCGATGTTTACGTAAACGCATTTCATGACACTACAACTGCTTATCAGAAGCAAGTTTTACGTTTTAAACCCGATTGTGAAATAGTCATTGGTTGGAGAACTGCATGGCGGGTGATGCATGCATTGCAAGAAACGTTTATCCTGTCGACTGTACAGGTCAGAGCAAAACTGGGAATCCCATATATACCTCTTCATTAAAAATGGGCATCCCACATATACCCCTACATCAGCTTTTTCTACTAAAATGTGAATTGTATATACGAATTTCTTTTTTAATGTCATGAAAAATCGTACTTTGTAAAGAACTACATTGATTCCAACACGAAGATGATATCATCAAAATGCTGGTATTGTTTTTATCGATAACATATTTTTTGCCTTTCGTAGATTGATATTTCAGCAGACAGTTGGTATTACAATGGCGACTTATTGTGCAACTCTACTAGCGAACTTGTTTTTACTCATCTGAAGCAGAATTCAAAGGGAAAAAAAGAAAAAAACTTGTTCTCCAATTTTTCTTTCAGCTATATTGATGATTTCCAATCTTTTTTCAATTTCCAATCAATAACCCCTTTACAATGAATGTTTGCCAATTTATATATCCAAGTGAACTTGAGATTAAGGATACCATTGAAACTTGATATTGACAGTCAAAGACGACTTTAAACTAAAATCAATGACACACATAATGATTTCAATTTTCCAATTGCCAACCTATGGAGCGTATGGAGTTTATGTATTTCAATTAATATGTTACGCCTGTGCATGTTCACACTAAATTTATTTTATAAATAGGCAATCATACCACATCTTCTTGTTTTTATGCACTAATAAGGTTGTGCTCCGTACCTACAAATTTTTCCATCAGAGTTAAGTGGGAGAACAACACTACAAAAGTGTAACGCTCACCATCACGAAGTGGTTGGCCGATAGGATATGGCTGTGTCTCAAATAACTAACGACTTGTTTTCACGGTCGTTGTCATTCACATACCAGTATAGTAGTCTGATCTGTAAATAAATCGTTGATGTCCTATTTCCGAGTGTGACATTTTAAATAAGTGTTGATTCGGATGACCAGTGATGAGTGCATAGTAGGAGACGCTTACCATGTCAAAACACTTGATCTCGCTCCTTTTGGAGTTTATGCGATTCCTTCTGGGAATAATGTTACCTTGATTTGTATATTCTAAATGGATAAAACAGATTTGAACATTAGTAAACTACATGTACTGTTGCCTCAAAATCATTGTTAGTATAGGCGAATTTGCTGGACAAGGTCAAACATTTGGATGACTTGTGAAGCCTCAACGTTCTATTGCATTAAATACGCAAATGAGAGGTCCGGCCACTAGACCAATACAGATAAATTTTTTTTATTTGTAATTTTTGCCCAAAAAGTCGTTATTAATAATTGTGTTGTCGTAATTAAAATAAGGATCATAAAAAAATTGTCATTTTCTCCAAACCCAATTTACCTCGTACACTGATTTTGAATAAACTCATCATAGATACCAGGGTGGAAATTTTGTATTTGTGCTAGACGCGTGTTTCGTCTACAAAAGACTCATCAGTGACGCTCGAATAAAAAAAAGTTAAAAAGGCCAAATAAAGTACGAAGTTCAAGAGCATTGAGGACCAAAAATTCCTAAAGGTTTTGCCAAATACAGCTAAGGTAATCTATTCCTGAGGTAGAAAAGCCTTAGTATTTCAAAAATGTAAAGTTTTGTAAACAGTATATTTTGAAGAATGTCACTACAGAAGCAAGGACAGCTTATTACTCATCCGAGTTCACTGTCCGTTTTTTTTGTGTGCTGCAGACTTCATAGTTGTGTGCTGAGGACTGATGTTTGTCTGTTCGTCGTTCTTGGTCATTGTGTTTTTTTTTTTTGCTTTTTCTAATACCTTGGAATATAAAAACAATAGTGTTATGTCTTTTCCATTCATCTAGGAAGTTAAATTGTTTTTTTTTTAATATACACCTTGAATTACATTGAGCGCTGTATCAATACCTAAAGAAGAAACCTTCCTTTGTTTGAGTGGAACGTATTTCATGGATAACCTTTGGTTTACCTAATTATATCCTAAAATATCATACAACTTTAAATTGTAAACTGCACGTGTAAGGAGCTTACGCGTATTTTATTGTTCTTAAACTGCTGTTTTAAAATGAGTTTTGTAATACTGGTAATGGAAAGTTATATTTTTCTAAGCCTTGCATCTCTTTTTCTGGATAAATGTTTTTTTTCTTTTTCTATACTATGCAAAACTTTCACTAAATCATTTATTTTCGACCCTATGAAGGCATGTGACTTCGGTAAAAGAAAAAAAAGGTGCCTTGACCACTTATTGATCGAATAAGGTTTAAACAAAGCTTCTAGTGCTTATTTTGACGATTTTAAAAGAAAATCATTTATTAGGCTCTGGAAAAGATAAACAGAATAGAGATCAATAGTTAAATATTTGAAAAATTAAAAATATAGACATGAAGACCATCAGTTCAGACCCTCATCGGTGATAGAAATATATTTTTCTTATTTGCTGGATTCTTTTGCAGATAAAAAATATAATCGTAATATTATTTCGATTAAAAAAATAACACGGTATTATTTTCTTTTAGATTTAACAATAGTTGACCAGTTGAAAATACAAGAAATAAATTATACCCTTGAAGGTATTAACACTACCAACTCTTTTATCAACTGGAAAAGTGATGAGACATTAATGAAGACAATCAACGTAGAGAGATGTAAGTGTAATAAAAAGACAGACACGGGTTTCTATAATACATGTACATAGCGAATTATGTTAAGGGGTTAAAACGACAAAAAAAATAATGTAAAAACAAGGGATTTGATATTGCCTGCAGAATAACATTTTAGAAAACGGGATTCCAGAGAAAATCGTGAATCTTAATTCCATTCGAAGAATATGAACCTGCGAACTAATGAATTCTTTCATTTATGAACAATCAATTCAATATGAAGTTTTTTTAGTTAACCATGTTGTCAGGATCACAATAGAGAAATAACCTTGCATATACTCAAAAAGTAGAGATCAGCCGCAAAAAGAAACATCTGACGACACACATATTATGTTCTAATATATGTATATTCAAAATTAAGATTTCAAAGTAAGTCAGCTGGAATGTTTGCAATATAAATGTTGATTACGTAATTGGTCATTGAAGTTGAATATTCTGGACGAAATCTTTTTTTCTGTTGAAAATAATCTCATCATAAAATTGAATATATAGCAGAATTTCAGGCTTAATCAAGTATGTACCGTACTGATATACTAAAATAAATAAACTCTATACAAATTTAATGCGTCCGAAGCATTTTTGTCTCTCCTGCGACGAACATCGCTGTATGCGAGACATAGGGACTACTATCCGGCGGCGGCGGCGATTTAAACTTTTCAGCTTTAAATTTCAGAAGGTAGAAGACCTGGATGCTTCATATCTTATACGCTTATACCTTATGTTACGAAGTTTCTGTCTGTTATATGTCCAATGTCATTGACATCATTTTTAATGGTTCAGCGACTTCTTAAAATATTGTTTTTTTGTCATGGTAATTTCTCACTTATTATGAGTAATTGGATCACTATATTTTGCATATGAGTTCCTTACAATGTGCACATGTCCGTCAGACAGGGTTTACCTGACCTCGACCTCATTTCATGGACAGTGATTAAGGTTCAAGTTACGTGATTATGTTCGTTTTTCAGATACTATAAGCAGTCGGTCAACTATATGTGGTGTATAGAATGATTGTAAGGGGTACATGTCAGTCTGGCAAGTTTCATCTGACCTTGACCTTATTTTTCATGATTCATTGGTCAGTGTTAAGTTTTTTCTGTTTTGGTCTATTTTACAAGTACTATAAGCAATAGGTCAACCATATTTGGTGTATGGAATGATTGTTAGATGTACATTTCTGTCTGGCAGATATCATCTGACCTTGACCTCATTGTCATGGTTCATTGATCAATGCTAAATTTTTGGGTTGTGGTCTGTTTTTCAAATACTATAAGCAGTAGGTCAACTATATTTGGTGTATGGAATGATTGCAAGTTGTACATGTCTGAATGGCAGGTTTAATCTGACCTTGACCTCATTTTAATGGTTCATTGATTAATGTTAAGTTTTTGTATTTTGGTCTGGTTTTTTTCCAATTACCATAAGCAATAGGTACTTGATGTATGGAATAATTGTAAGGTGCAATGTCTGTCTGACAGGATTTATCTGACCTTGACATCATTTTCATGGATCTTTAAAAAATGTTAATTTGATGTGATACTTGTAGTAAGACCTTTATCTTTAAAACGTTCAACAAAAAATCAATGGTCAGTAAAGCAGGCGAGACATTTCGGCGTGTGCACTCTTGCCTTTTATTTACCTTCATGAGGAATGCTCAATAACGCCTAAATCAACAAATGGCAAAGGCAAGGATGTATAATAATTTGAACACGTGAATATCTATCTGAACAAAAGAGACCGCGAAAGAAGTTAGCACGCTTGATTTTTAACGAATATTTAAACAGAAAATGTTATTGTTCTAAATAACGACAGAGTGGAGAATGGAATAACTGTTCGAGTCGCTTATGTCATAGAACAATTCTGAAGAAGATGACAAAGCTTCTTTTTAGGCCTGAAACCTAAAAATATATTGCGATATTGTATGAAATGTGACATTCTGATGATTGATTGCTATAGTAAAAATGTTTTCAATATGATAAAATTACCTTTTATATAAAGTTTAAAAAAAATTCAGATCATATTTGATATATTTGGAACTACGAAAGTGTTGAAGTTACATAATCGAACACAGATATAGTGAAAATGAAATAAACGATTTTTACAATATATAATATTTAAGAATAAGTAAAATATATTAAACTGCATTGTAAAATATCAGTTGCAACTCAAATATGAAGCTTTTTGATGGAGATGATTCAATTAACATAAAAAGAAGAAATGACTAATAGCCAATTTAGAGCAATAGCAGTGACTTCCCTTTGCATATAAAATTTGTTTTATTTATAATAGTAACCCTTTTCACAAGTAACATAAACCACTTATATCTATCATCCTATTATTATATTTAATTCTAGATTACTTCTTTATATCAAATCAATATCTTTAATACGTGCATATTTGTACTAGATCAATTTTATTCCCCGATAGTCCAATTTTGATTCGTATTTCAGAAATAATTACTTCAAATTGATATGACTAACTAATATACAATGCTCTTCAACTTTGTACTTGTTTGGCTTTATAACTATTTTGATCTGAGCGTCACTGATGAGTCTTATGTAGACGAAACGCGCGTCTGGCGTATTAAATTATAAACCTGGTACCTTTGATAACTACTAATAATACGTGTGCTTGGCATAATTTCAAGCAGATAACCTGTGGACGCAGAATAGTACGAGAAGTTGAATGCATTTATTCCCGATTACTAATTAAGACATTATTAACATGATTAAATCAATGATTTTTAATGGATTTATGTTATATACCAATATAATCTCTTGATTATATTTTTGGTTGTATTATGTTATAGCATAAACAAGATTATTCATTTTAAGATTGTTAAATTAAATTACACGGCAGCGAAAATTGTGAGGAAAAATACAAATATTGACACCACGAATGTGCTCTTATCCTATATTAATTCAAACTAATAATTTGGTCCGGGTGATAATCATATCAATCATATATGTACTTTTCACTTCAATAACATTTTGATATTCTTTTTTCAGGAATGACGATTCTTGTCCAGAGTAGCTCTGTATTCACGTCAACGTTAACGCCATTAGTTGGAGTAGGAGTTGTAAGCCTTGACCGGATGTTTCCTCTAACTCTTGGTGCAAATATTGGAACTTGTATTACAGGAATACTTGCTGCGCTCGCAAGTCCTGCGAAGGCTATTCCATACGCACTACAAATTGCACTTTGTCATTTATTTTTTAACATCAGCGGAACACTTTTATTTTATCCAATACCGATTACAAGAAAAGCGCCAATCAACCTTGCGAAAAAGCTGGGAAATATCAGTGCAAAATATCGTTAGTTCTCAGTCGTATATTTGATAGTGATGTTCCTTGCTCTTCCAGGTTTCATTTTTGGTCTATCTCTTGCGGGAACGCTGCCATTTTCAATTATTGGCTCAATAATATTATTTTCTATTCTTTGTATTTGTATTATAAACTGTTGCCAATCAAAATGCAAAGGTTGTTTGCCGCCAGTTTTAAAAAGTTGGAACTTTTTGCCGTTGTGCTGCCATTCTTTCAATCCATTAGACAACGTGATGAAAAGACTTTTTGGAGTATGTAGCTGTTGTACAAAAGAAACAGAAAATGCAGTTTCTAAAACAGGTGAACAAACCATTTCTGGACAAAGCTACGATAACACAGCATTCACAGTGTTATAGAATAACCAGGACTATAACATACTGTATAACTCAATAAACTGCAAGCGTGATAAACATGAGATTTCTTCTCAACAGAATTTATATTTTCGTACGCAGCTGCTTTTTCAACAGAAAGTTACTAGTTCTGAATAGTATGACGGCATATTGCTAAAAAATAACGTCTGTACTTACATATTTTAAAAGATAGTAATATTTACCCTGTTACATGTATTTATCGTCATATATACAAAAGTATATATGACAGTGTTTTTATTCAGGTACAAACTATACTATGTAAGTATGTACGCATAATGCAGAGACTGCTTTCGTTCACTAATAAATGAGACAAATATGCATATAGAATAAAAATATTTAAACCGATAAGTTTTGGACAACATTTTCATTTCTACTGTTTATGCATACCATCTTATCTATCCCAATCACCAGTCAAAAGTCGTTTGTGGACTATAATTCGTACAAAAAAAACCCAACTGTATCCTTGCTGAAATGATATACCATGACACCACATAAATGATAAAGTAATTGACAATATCGATTGTTTTCGATATATTGATATATTGATTGATTGTTGGTTGCTTAAAGTCCAGTGGTAAATATTGCATACATGTTCAGGACGAGAACAAATTAACAATAAATACAATAGGTAGGTCCTGTAATAAAGGCCGTCCGGAATGAAGGTCGGGGAAATTTAGACTGCCACTGAAAAATGAGGGTGAATTGGATAGAGACAAAATTATGCCTTGGAACAGGCCTCCTACAGGCAAGAGTTCGTAACGTGCAGAGAGCGTGGCATTATCTTTACACGAGGCATTTTTAAAATCCAAACTTCATGGTTTTTTAAGGCTAAAGTATAATATTGCGAGAGAAAATATATATCCCTTGTTTTTGAGAATTCACAATAATTTTAGTTGGATGTACTTTAATTCTTCCTCCTTCAACTCATTTCTTATAAATGCATAGCAGGAGACGCTTTCTCTGTCGACACATCCGGTCTCGTTCCTTTTGGAGTTCATGCAATTCACTCTGTTTCTATGTTTGCAACTTTGATTTGTCATTTTAATTGATTGATGAGATTTGAACTTCGGTAAACTACTGTTCCCGTAGGTTTTTATCATTTCTTATGGAAGTTATCGATTTTAATAAAGAAAAACATTCAAGCGACATAGTCTATACTAAACTAATGTTTCTGACTTATCACCAAGACATATAATGCATTTGTTATATTTATTTACTTTCAAATTGAGATTTATTTTTGTAAACAGTGGGATACTCCAATTTGAAACATGTACCCATTACATCTGATATTTATGATAGGTATATATTATCTTAAATCGTTTGTGTGGTTTTTTTCCAACTAAAGAATAGACAATGAATGTTATTATATGCACTCAAATGTACTTTTAGAAGTTATTATACTAGATTTCCTGAAAAAATCGGGCAATCATCATGCCATTTCAACATTTTTAAACTGATCCTGCTCATTTGAGAGAAGTGGTTGGTTTATGACTTAAAACCTATTATCCAATTGTTTAAGACTTAGTAATAATTCTTTTTAACTACACTCATAAATGAAAATAACATTTTGTAAATTTCGTGCGTCCGAAACACTTTCTGTATGACCCTTCTTTAGAAAGGCTCAAACTAAAACAATTTGAAACTTATAGATGATAAATACTTAAACGCGTCATTAGCTAAATTATCAAAAGAGATCGGAAAGGAAAAGCCAAATCCATCTAAGGTCAACTTTGCCTGAAGGAGTTGAAACCTTAGTTTTTAAATAATTTCTAAAGTAATCAACTGAAAATTTAATAAAAGTATGTTATAATGTGAACTGGAGACTTCAACCTGTCCACACACTCAGTCTTGCTCATTTTGGAGTTTTTGCGATTCCCTCATTTATTTATTATTACTTTGATTTGTATTTTCTTAATCGATTTATGAGATTTGAACATTTGTTAACCACTGTTACCTAATATTAAACCATGTCAGTACCGAAGCAATGACTATCATGCCTAATTGGTTAATGATACCCTCGGGGAATAGCAGTCCACCAGGAGCGGTATCGACCCAGTGCTGGTAAATGAAAATAACGCTTAACAAATGTCGTGGGTCTGCAGATCATTACGGAATTTACCTTCACTAGGAACGCTCAAACCTTAACATTATAAAACCAGGGATGACAAATACTTTAACGAGTCAACAGCTATATGATCAAATGAGACAAAATTCATCTAATAAAATTGAAATGGGGAATGTGTCAAAGAGACAACAACCCGACCAAAGAGCAGAAAACAGCCCAAGGCCACCAATGGGTCCTCAACACAGCGAGAAAATCCCGCACTCGCAGGTGGGCTTTAGCTGGCCCCTTAAACAAAAATGTGTACTAGTTCAGTGAAAATAGACGTCACACCAAACTCCGAAACATATAAATGAACTAAAATTAAAAAAACATACAAGACTAACAAAGGCCAGAGGCTCCTGACTTCGGACAGGCGCAAAAATGCGGCGGGGTTAAACATGTTTTGTGAGATCACTTTGCCTGATGGAATAGGTATAAATATTAATTAAAAAACTAATCAAAGATACCAGGCCTATAATTTTGTAAACAAGGCACACGTTTCGTCTACCAAAGACGTTTCGGTGGTGCTAGAATCTATAAAGTTGTAAGCCAACATCAATAACAAAGTTGAAGAGCATTGGACACCAAAATTCAAGAAAAGTAATGCCAAATCTTTAAACACTAAGACGATAGCATCATACCTTCAATATTTATCCCATATTTAACAACCACAAAAAATTATGATGATGTTTGATTTTAATTCTAAAGCATTACGTGACTATAGAAATAACGACGAACTCAAGAAAACCTGACATTATTATATCTTTTTGATAGCATAATTGTCACTGGAAACATTGAGAGGTCAGTCTTTGAATGTGCTTTTAATGGACCTTTCTTGTGTGTATAGGACTGTTTTCAAATTAATGGAACGCGATATGTAAACAAAACACAGAAAACACCTATTTGGAAAAATGGAGCATATACACAAAAAATAAACCCAATAAAAATGACCATGAACACGAATTACATTGACGTAGGTCTATTTGAATCAATGCCTGACAGAAATTGTAAAATCGATTAGTATGGAATATTTGTTTTGCGAGGGAGACGATTGACATTATCCTTTTTAACTTTTTTTTATATTTCTGTATTGCTTACAAACAAAAATTAAATACAAGAGCAGCAAATTTTCAAATGGCCTGAATGGAAAACCGTTTATAAATAGATCTCAGAGTGTGTCATATGAAGGATTTATAAACCAAATATGCTAAAGAACTGGCGTTAACAAATGTAACCACTTGTTACAAGTCTGAAATGTGTTCCATAATTTCTTTAGCTGTAAAAAATCACTTCTCGTTTTTTATAGGACACTTACTTATTAACTTTGTTGTCTCATTGGCACTCATACCACATCTTCTTATATCTACATAACGTTAACCGTTAGCATTTATTAAGTTAATTACAGTGCTAAATGTGTATATCCACACTTCGAAAGAAGGGTGTTAACTGGTTTACGTCTCTCCACCGTCACATGACGTTTTGATCCCACTATTCTCAGGAATCATAAATAAGAGCTTCCATAAATTTGGTATAAAGCTTCATGTGAGTAAGTTTTTACTGTTAGAGAAATGTTCACATTCATTGCTTTTCCACTGTTTATCTAATACTTATGTATTATTACACAAAATTGTCATGTGTAATAGGAGAAAAGTGTGGTAAGGGCCCTTTTGGTTAATAATACCAAGTTGCTTGTAATAAGATAAAAATCCCTTCAAGTTGACGAATAGATATGTAAGAAAGTAAAATAGAACTATTTTGTCGAGTTTTTCGTTAAAGCGTTGACACCCCAAAAAGGTAAAAAATAGGGGTTTTGTTTTAAGTTGACAAATCGTCTTGATTTCAAACATATTAAGGCTAAGGAAGCATAAAGCACAGGCTTCGACAAACTAAATATTCTAGTCAGATAGATAATTTGTTATAACAAAAAACCAAAGTTTGAAGTACTTTTTTTATCGATGTGCTATATGTTTTCGGACCTAAAAGCCAATGAAAGTTGGTCTGTTTTTTTTTAATTTCTTGGAAAATCACAATTTATTCTATTTGTGACGTCATGGAAAGAACGCTATTTTTTTACAAATAGACCTATAACTTTTTGAGCCATTGTTCAGCTATGATTCATTGTGACGATGGCCAATAAATTCTTATTTTAATTTGAGCTGTAAACATGGGCCTTATCAATCCTACTGCTTTTGGTTGCATTTTGCTGCGAATAAGAGCTTTCTGAAATTTGGTTTCATGTAAAATCTATGTGATGATTATTTTTTTATAGCAATATGCGTTGTCAGTTTCTTTTAAATTTATGAGTTTTGAATAAACTTATTAAAGATAAATTTTGTACCACAGACGCGCGTTTCGTCAACAAAAGACTCATCAGTGACGCTCGCATCAAAAAAGTTAAAAAGGCCAAGTTTAGTACGAAGTTGAAGAGCATTGAGTATCCAATATTCCGAAAGGTTTTGCCAAATACAGCTAAAGTAATCTATTCCTGATGTAGAAAATCAATCCTAAGTATTTAGAAAAATTCAAAGTTTTGTAAACAGTTAATCTATAATCATGACCATATCAATGATAATTCGTGTCAACACAGAAGTGATGACTACTAAACTAGTAATACCCTCTGGAGGAAACCTCCACCAGCAGTGACATTGACTCAGTGGTTGTAAATAATCTCATCATAGAAATCATGTATCACAGACGTGCGTTTCGTCAGTGACGCTCGAATCAATAAAGTTTAAAATTCCAAATAAAGTACAAAGTTGAAGAGCATTGAGGACCCGAAATTCTCATCAAATGTCTGTTTTGCGAGGGTAGCATTAATAATAAATACCTCACAGTTCAACCTGTTTCGTCGGTGTGAAAGTTGTTGTATCCAAAACAATGTCGAAATAGAACTAGATATTCGAAGATGGTCGTCTGAACTGAAAACATTTTGGATAACACATTAAAAGACATCATAATAGTAGATTTGCGAATTGCAAATCTTTTGTAGGATTATCCCGACCGAAAGCGAATATGGCCCTTACCGCTAGGATTTTTTGCCAAAAAAATATGTGTCGAAATTAAATAAACACATTCTGTTTCGTTGAAACCACTTACTGTTTTAGGTTTTTTTTTTAAATAATGGTTTTCAAAACAATATATTGGTCTAAATGACATAAAGTACAGCATACAAGAAACCGGTTTCTAAAATTTGTAGACATTGAATAAAAGAAAAGATCTTGTACACTGTAAAGACAGAGACAATCTATTTGTGTTGTTGAGGTTTTGTCTCGCTGACTTGACCCAAATATCTACTTTTGTTGAAATAATATAATTTGGATTCAACAACAAACAACTTGGTCTTTTTTTTAGCATTTCTGCTAAAAAACGTATTTCTTTAAATATGAATTATAATATTTTGAACAATTAACCTCTACTTTTTCTAAAACAAAGGCTTTCAATTATCATTTAATACAGGGAGTCCTGCATTCAAGCCACTGAACTTTCTGTTACAATGTTATATAAAAAAAGAAGTGGGTGATATTATTTCAAGAAATGATGATTTGTCTTTCTATACTTAGAATATAGCAGGATCAGTCAAGCCAATAAACAAAAATTAAACATCTTTATTTTATTTTTTGTTAAATGTGGGAGATGGGGCCCATCTTACTTAGTGTTCTAAATTAATACTGATGACTGAAATTTTACAGAAACATGACTAAGATTTATATACAATTGAATGAAAAATACCCTACAAAGTAACCTGCCACTTCTTTTAAATAATCAGATCAGTATTTATTTAACAGTTAAAAAATGATGAGTTGGTATTATGATTGCCCGAGTTTGTCAGTGAATTTAGTATTTTAACTTATGAAAGTACATAAAAGTGCATATACTAACATAAAAATAAGAAGATGTGGTATGATTGCCAATGAGACAACTCTCCACCAGACAAAATGAAGAAGTTAACAACTGTATGTCACCGTACGGCCTTCAACAAAGAGCAAAACCCATACCGCATAGTAAGCTATAAAAGGCCCCGAAATGACAGATGTAAAACAATCCAAACGAGAAAACTAATGGCCTGATTTATGTACAATAAACCAAAAACAAATATGATATACTGCACCAAGGCTCCTGACTTTGGACAGGCACATACAGAATGTGGTGGGGTTAGCAAGATAGTTACATTGCATACTTTTTAGTCATAGTAAAGAAAAATCACACATGCGACTAAACTAATACATAATAAATAACTAACGTGAGTAGCACAATGAACGCGATCTAACATGCTTCAAATTGGATTATCTCCCGTTAACTATAATAAATCTAAATTAAAAAGTACCTTCTTAATCATAACACATATATATCTCTGGGATATCCGTTCGATACGTGTAGTAAAATTTTGTCGCTTTTGTGTTTTGCTATTATAAGTTTCAAAATCTTAATTCTATAAAGCAATGAGTTGTTCAACGGAATAATAAAAAGAAAATAAAAGTTCATACAACTAAACTTATTTTAAATTCCCGATAAATTTTGTCTCTAGCTATCGAAATTTATTTTGTAGACTGAAGGTAGCTGCAATTCGAAGCCAAACATTCGTATTATCTTATCTTTTGTGTAGCAGGAACTGCTTACCCTTCGGAGCATCTGAGTTCACTCCCGGTGTTAAGTGTTGCTCGTTCTCTAGTTTTTATGTAGTGTTTTGTGGCATCGTCTTTTTTACCATTGTGTTTTCAGTTTTGCTTCAACAGGATTTTTGATTGTCCTATTTCAATTTCTGCTGGTGGACTGAAAGTCCCCGAGGGTATCACCAGCCAAGTAGCACGTTCTTCGGTACTGGTAAAAAAATACGGATATTTTTCTATTTAAATGTGCTACTATGAAATATCGAAATCATTTTAAATTAAAGAATATATCTTCCTCACGCATAGCTCTGATTACTTGTCCAGATTTAGCTTTCCTTTGACCCTTTTTTGTGTTTTTTTCCAGCTCTTTAACGTTTGTATTAGGGTTTGGACTTTGGCCTCGAGCATCACTGAAGAGACATTAATTGTCGAAATACGCATCTGGTGCAATAAATTTAGTACAGTTATTGTTATTGGGTATATTCCGCCTCTTTTGTTTTATAATAAAATGATCTCTCAAAATCTTATTGTCTCAACATAATACAAGGTACTGTAAAAGGAATTCCCAAAAATCAAGCCCATTGTCTACTTCTGTTGGTACAATCGCCATTGTATAATACTTAATCAATAGTGTTGACTATTTGATTCCATTTGTATTGATCAGTTATAGTCTACATAGTACATGCGACTTCGACTGAGTAGCTGATATACAAATAAACAGCTGCGCCAAGAGCGCATGATACGCCTTTACTGTGCATTTTGTTGCAAGAATAAAATCGAAAATTTTGAACGCATTTAATCTTAAGCAAATAAAATAGCTCTGCAGAAACACATGAGGATATCTTTATTCTTAAATCGCAGCAGTTGTTATGTTCACCAATTCCAAAAATTATTTAAAGTTTCCACTGAATAAATTCAAGCAATCTCAAGTTATGGTACACTATGTTTAAAATTTACTTAAATCTGACAATTAAAGTCTTATAAAATGGAGCTTCCATTCATCAATCGCCTTAACAATATAAAGTTTTGAGGAAATCGATTCAGGATTACAAGGGTTAGTGCGCAATTTGTGAAAAATTGTCTTAAATCTAACGGTAAACGTTCCGTTACTCTAGAATAACATAGCCGCAAATAAAAAATACCAAAGGGAACTTTTGTTCGTCAATTTTAAGGTTGTGTTCAATTTATATTAAGATAGTTGAAAGGAAATTTGAGTTATCGTACAAAGCGTTGACGACTGACGACGGACTGACATTGGTATACCATAATACGTCCCGTCTTCGATAGGCGTTAAAAAATAATCCAAAGCTTTTAAACTTGAATATTTTATTTTATACGCTAAGTTGTTTGAACTTACCTCATAAATGAATTTTTGTCTAAATTCTACTTGTTACGATTTTATGGATGTTTTCTAGTTGTAAGTAATACTCAATAATTGTTTAACAAGTTTTAATTACAATTGATTCATGTAGCAATTTTCATTGTGCATGGTCAACTTTCCATTTATAACGCATACATATGTACATGCCTGAATAAAAACACTGTCAAATTTGCATTCACCTATATGACAACATATGAATGTTACTGGGTAATAATGTCATGTTAATATGTAAATGCAGACGTCATTTTGAACAACACGCTGTCATACTACTCGGACCTAGTGGGTTCATTGTGAGATTTGTAGCTTCGTACAGGAATTTTATTTCTGTTGAAAAGAAATCCATTGAATAACCACATGATTGCCTGTTGGTGTTCAACGTCATTTTCAGCACGACTGTCATGTATAACCGTTTTTCAAACAGATTTAAGTTCACAGCATCATATAGTATATATTAGTCCTGGTTATTCTATAATACTGTAAATGCTGTGTTATCATAACTGTGACCAGAAAAGGTTTGTTCGTCTTCTATTTTAGAAACTGTATTTTCTTTTTCTTTTTTACAACATCTACATACTCCAAAAACCATTCTTATCACGTTGTCTAATGGTTTGAAAGAATGGCAGCACAACGGCAAAACATTCCAATTTTTCAAAATTGACGGCAAACAATTGTTGCATTTTGTTTGACAACAGTTAATTATACAAATACAAAGTATTAAAAATAACATTATTGAGCCAATAATAGCAAATGGCAGCGTTCCTGTAAGGGATAGTCCAAAAATGAAACCTGGAAGAGCTAAGAACATCATTATTAAATATACGACCGAGAACCAACGATATTTTGCAGTGATATTTCCCAGCTTTTTCGCAAGGTTGATTGGCGCTTTTCTTGTGATCGGTATAGGATAAAATAAAAGTATTCCTGTGAGGTTGAAAAATAAATGACAAAGTGCAATCTGTAGTGCGTGTGGAATAGCCTTTGCTGGACTTGCAAGAGCAGCAAGTATTCCTGTAATACAAGTTCCAATATTTGAACCAAGAGTAAGAGGAAACATCCGGTCAAGGCTTACAACCCCGACTCCAACTAATGGCGTTAACGTTGATGTGAATACAGAGCTACTCTGGACAAGAATCGTCATTCCTGAAAAAAAAAAAAAATATCAAACTGTCATTGAAGTGCAAAGTACGTATATGAGATTAATATGATTAAGAAACTGACCAAATTAGTAATTCGAAGAATTACAAGATACGATAAGGGCACATTTTGAAATTGTCCACAGCATATCTTGTTGAAAGTATTGCAGACACCCTGTATTGTTCACATTGTTTTCTGTACCCATGAATGTACGTCTATGTTTGATCGTGTTTGCTTTATTTATTTGTTTTACGTCAAGTAAAATTTTGGACAAATACGATGAAAAGCAGACATAAATAATTACACTTCAATGATAACCTAGATACATCTTACAGTTTAATGCAAATGCTCAACTTTAAATTTGCTCTGGTTATAAAAAAAAACATATTTTACAAACAAATGCAATTATATAATTTTTTGATCTAAAATTGATAGTATGCATGCATTCAGACAAAAGTTGAAATGTTCGCTAAAAATTCCATGATTTTAAAAAGATTTATTTCGGTTTTGACTTCAGACCATTGGAAATTTTCCATCAAGAGAAAACAAATGTGGTACTACAATATCAAACATTAAATTAACGTTAAAATAGACCATATCGCTTTTTAGGAATCTGCGAAACTTGACCCGAGATTTTGCGGCAGTTGAACTATTGATGTAAAAAAAATCACTTTTGCATTTTTGTGTCAGACATTGCTCTTATGATGTAAAACGTTCACGGGGACGTCTGTGATGTCTACTAATGGCGGAGAAAATAGACATAAGGTGTATTAATTAAGAAAGGGATTTTCATAACAAACCTGTTCCAACAAGTATTGCAACATATCCTGTCAGATGTTTAAATACTCCAGGAAAATCTGAGTTGATGATCTTTTTGACGATTTTAGCAACTGAGCCCTTTAGGAGTGAATTTAGCAGTTTCACCATAATGATCAAAGATACCACGATTAATCCAAGGGAAATCAGTAAAAGAAGTATTCCAATAGTTGAATCTGACAAGTCTGTTTTGGCAAACAAATTGTCACCTATAACAATAATAGCATTACTGACACATATTAGAAATAATTTCAAAAACCGTCATACAAGATGTCAATGGAAAAAAAGAAAAAAAAAAGTTATCTTTACTCAAGAAGATGTTGAACATTATTATCACTCAAAGAGAGGTTGATATCAACATTATAGTGTGAATGCAATTAATATTTATGAATGTTATCGCGAGCAGTATTGCATGCATCTTTTGGCACGAATTTACAATGGACATGTTTCCGCGTGATTATTGATTCAAGACTTCACCTATATTATTTGAAAAATGTTTTAAACTACATATAAATGGAAGTTTTATCACTTTGAAATCGTATATACCATATCCGTCTATCATCAGAATGTCACTTATGATACAATATCACAATATATTTTGAGATTTAATGCATGAAAAGAAAATTTTTCACACTTTTCAAAACTATTCGGTGTCATAAGCGACTGTTACACTAATTCCGTTTTCCGCTCTGTCGTTTATATATCAAGTATCATTTATATTCGACACCTCTTTAAAACCGTCACTATGGGAAGAGAGTGCAATTGTTTCAGTATTTGAGTACAAGGTAAAAACTTGGCTTTGCCATAAAATCAAACTTAATATTGATAATGAGATTATTTTCAATATTGATGTTTGTTTCGTCCAAATTGAACATATCTGTATAAAATATGGTAGGTCAGATGTTTTATTTGCGGCCGAACACTGTGTAATAGTACATTCAATGCTATGAGTTGGCAGTTTATATCGTGATCCTAACAACAGGCTAGTTTTTCGTATATATTGAAATGTTATAAATCAGGCTGTTAGTTTTCCTGTTTGAACTGTTTCATATTTTAAATGTCGGGGCCTTTTATGGCTAACTAGAGATTTCCAATAAAATGACTTTACTCGACATAACCGACCTAACTCAGCGTATTTCGTCCTATTGCATTGCAGCATGACGGAGGGGAGCATACACTAAATGCATTTTTTGCTCTTTCGACACGCATTTTTTGCTGATATAGACTAAATGTAAAAATCAACCCCAACTATTTTTTTTAATCTTTAAATACTTTGTTATTAAATTTTGAAAGATTTTATTGACAAAAATAATTTAATAGAATAAGCAAGCTAGCAACTTGTAATCAAATACACCCATCATTTCTTGTCATTTCACTTGACCCATATTTCAGTTCTTCTCAAAATATGAATTTAAAAAACTACCAAGTAAAAATTTAGCATGAAAATATTAAAATAATGAAATCCGAAGCGAGAAGGTTATCTCTTTTTTAGTTTTTATAAGTTTTAACGCTTAAAAAGTAGATACCAACACACCCGAATGTAAAAGGTGTACGCGACTAACTTTTTTTAAAATTATTTTTCTATAATTTAATTCAAGATAATTTGACGTGAGCAGAAATTCATATCATTGGTACATTTATCAAATAGTACTTTTTAGTCTTTAACAATGATAATGCATGGGACGAGGTTTTTGTCCATGTATACCTAAACGTGCATTCGCAGATACAGGGGAGAGGGCGTACTCCCCCCTTTCGATCGCCAAATAATTTTGAAAATCTCACGTTTTCCACGTTATCTATACAAATGTTTAGTATAAAATCGTCCAATTCTTTTTTCGCGTTTCTCTGCTCGGCAGTATAAATTCAATTATCGGGAACTACGCCCTTTTTTCAAATATCTTGGATCCGGTCATAATCACAAATTGTATAGCACAAACAAAATTTAATGATTGTCGTTTGACTTTGATAAATACGTTTTAAAAACAACAATGTTTGAATATTAGACATCTCGCACGGGATTTAAAAGATTAAGGCTACATACTGAATTGGTTTTTTTCCTGGATTTAGAGCTCACTTAACACGGAAATGTGATACTGGAGTGTAATCTAATGGGTACATATTTTTGTTTCTGATGTTTCTTTTAATGTAAATATTCATTTATTAAGTTATATATAATTCCACTAACAAATAATCATGTATCTTTTACTGATGAATCATCATTACATTTTATAGAAACTACATATAATCTACTATACAGTTATGAACACTAATGGTCCTACCGACACTCTGTGCTTTTGACATGACACAAGGTCTTGCTTTTCTAGAGTGTTTATGTATTTTTTTACTTAATTTGTGATATGTACAAAAAAAATGTAGTATGATTGCCAATGAGACAACTCGTCACAAGAAACCAATTGACACAGCAATTAACAACTATAGGCCACCGTACGACCTTCAACAATTAGTAAAGCCCATACCGAATAGTCATCTATAAGAGGCCACACATGACGAATGTAAAACAACTATAAGGATAAAACTAACGGCCTAACTAATGTACAAAAAAATGAACGAAAGCACAGCAACAAACGATAACCATTGAATTACAGGCTCCTTACTTAGGACAGTCACATCCATACATAATGTGGCGGGGTTAAACATGTTAACGGGCCCTCTTACCTGGGACAGTGGTGTAACAGTACGAAATAATTGATTAATATTCTAGACTGAATAATTATTCTGTATTTATTAGTTGTAGTTGTTTTTAAGATAGTGTTCAGTAGCTGTGAATACTCTAAGATCGGTACATGGAGTTTATTTGGTAGTACTAGTAATTGCTGTTTTTGTGCTTCGTTTTAGTCGGACGAGTCAATCCCTTTCTTACTGTTTTAACTATGAGTGTAGACATGATCATTTGATAAACATACTTCTATGATCTCTATTGCTTTTAACTTGGACATTTATAAAACTTGAACTATGTAGCAAAGAGATGCAGGGGTAAAAAAAGTTCGCGACATAAATTGGCTAAAATATCAGATAAGGATTTAGCCTCAAGCTTTAATATTTACAAGCTATAATAAATACGACGAAGATCTAGCCTCAGGCTATAATACTTATGATGATGATGATGATGATGATACTGATGTATGTCTTATATCCAGCGACAAATATTACATATATATTAAGGATGATGAAATGATAATGATAAATGAATATACCTTTTTGTACATGACCAACACTTAAGAGTCGCATTTTTATATGCTAGATAACAAATTAGCGTACCCGATACAAAGACACACTTGGGGTCCAACAAAATAATTGAACCCGCAATTGAGGCTAGCCTGCTACCAGTCAATCCCATATTTAATAAAAACCTGTTAATATATTTTATGCTTTATGTGCATATCTTATTATTCTAGCAACACTTGTTTTGTTTTGATAACACTTGTTGTTGCATAATTTGTTTGATTATTCTCCTTGATTCTTTGTATCAAAAAGCTTAGTTTTTATTGTAAAATGGTGTTTCACAGCTTCCATTATCCTTGTGACTTGCTATTGTATTAATATCCAGTAGGCATGCAATTATTATTCTAAATAGTATGAAATATTTTTTAACAAGTAAAGATTACCCCGTTTTGATCCAGACTTCCTTACCACTAGCATCTAAGATACATACACTGACAAAATATTGTACCCGCACTCATATTACAATCATCCTGTCTGTCCGTCCGCCAGTCTGTCCGTTCAACAAATATTTTCAATTTTCTTTTCAAAAGCATTAGTATGCTTAGCATGCATTCTTTTTACGATTTATTCCATTTCATCCGACATGTATATATCTGGATCCGTGTCGAGCGTCCAACTATCAAACAGAGTCCAAATGGCGTGAATAACGACTACAGTGGCTCCTGCTGTCGTCAACAATAAGCAAAAACTCATACTGTATTATAATTATCAGATACTAGTATATGAGGCATTGACTTTGAAAAAAATATAAACAGTTCAAACGAAAATAAAACATCTTTACAACAGTAAAATTAACCCAAAAATGACAGAAAGTAAAAAAACGACATCCACTGAATTGAAAGCTTCTGACTTGGGAAAGCCAGTATAGAATTTGGCCTGATTAAACGCGTTTACCAGCGTTCAACACTCTGCTGTAACAGCACGATATAACAAATAAAACCGGCAAAATTCAGTTGGAAATAGCTCAACTAATCAATATTGAATTAATCCCAAAACAATTACATTTTTATGATGAAAGACACAGAGTACCGATCTTAAAGTATCCCAGGTACTGAAAGCTGATTCTTATGTTCATGTTGAATTACCTGAGTTAAAAAAAAATAAGGAGATTTAATATGATTGCCAATACGAAATGAAGTGGATGTAAGCAATGATAGGCAACCGTACGGCCTTCATCAATGAGAAAAATCCATACCGTATAGTCGACTATAAAAGGAACCAACTTGAAAAATATGAAACAATTCAATTGAGAAAACTACCGGCATGATTTAAAACAAAACAATTTACGAAAAACAAATATAAGTTATATGAACCAACGACAACAAGTGAACCACAGACTCCTGACATGGGACAGACACATTAAGAATGAGTGCTCAACCCCTCCCCGTAAGCCTGGGACAGTGGTGCAACAGCACGACATAAGAACAACCTGGAAAAACCTTCCTTCAGAGAGCTTGGTTTACACATATATACATATTTAAAGTAATTATGAATATAAAATTTATTTTCAGCCGTGTATCACCTTCACTGGTGATCCTATGCATGGATATGTCGTAGAGTTTAACTTTATATATAAATATATATCTCTAAGGCGAGACAACAATTGAAACTTAAAATTTTTGCTTATCTTAATCAATATGTTATAGTTTAAGAATCCACTTCTAATTGGACTAGTAAGAGTTGTCTTAATCCAAAAACAACTATGACAATATCAAGCCTTACTAATTAAAAGTACATTTTAAAAAGAAAATTACTGTAAAGACTGAAGTGGCATTGTAGTTGTCTTAAAAATGTAACAAGTATATAAATTGGCATTCTCGTCCACTTTAAATCAGAGATACTTGGGGACTGGACATTTTTTTAGCCAATTACTATGTACTATAAATTGATTGTTTACTATTCACAGCGGTCAATGTTTATATGCAGATTAGTCATCTATTGCTAATCAAGTACACCTTCCAAATTACAGTCTATATAACGAATTGGTGTACACATTTATTTACATATATCATTTTAAATTACAAATTTTTTTTTTTAATGTTAGTTGACTTTAAAATTTAAAGAAGTACAAGACCTGTATTAATTTTTTTTTAAATATACACATCCCTTTGTCGAACGTTTTCTCTGGGGAAAACATCGGAGATTGTAAATAAACAAGATTAACTGCAGAAAAAGAGAACGTTTGAAATGATGCTTAATAAAGTATGATGCAATCCCAGTTATCAATTTTAACAGAGACAAATTCTGACTAACACTTTGAATTCCATATTTCTGAAATTGCTAGAAAAATCTCTGTCTAATAATAAATACCCACGGAAATTAAATATTATAAAACATTAAGAGACGAAAGGGAAAAAGGGACACCAATCTGATAACGACAAATAAAAGCATGTCAAATATTAAATAATAAAAGGTTCATTTGCAAAGTATATCGAAAAACAAAATAATGGTCAAAACCATGAAAGACAACTCAAATCAATCGTATGATAGGTAAAGATACGTGTATATACGTGGTCTTATGACAGTGAAGTTTTGGCGGGAATCTCAATAATCACGTGATATATAAAAATCATGATTTCTTTGTTTTTCATCATCTTAGAAATACTTGATATTGATAAAATTTATCACGAATGGGTTTAATAGTTTAGGAATTCTTAGTTAAAATTTGAGTTACGTATTTAACAAAATTAATAGGTTAGCAATAACCGGTCCCGTTACGTGCGTACGTCGAGTTAGGTACGTATGTCATTTTATTGGAAATCTCTACTAAACGGTATTGTGTTTTCTCATTGTTGCAGACCATACGCTGACCTATTATTGATTACCATCAGGCCATTTGAGCTCAGGTGGCCAGTTGTCTCATTTGCAATCATACCATATCTCCCTTTTTATATTAAATAAAACAATTCTCATGAAATTTAATGTTGATGAATGAAAGAACATATTTTAAGGACGCCATCATGAGTTGGTTGACAGTTATGGAATATCTGTTGCACAGATGACGACGGAAATGTTCCAATTGTCGTCACGTCCATAAATGTGACCCACCAAATTATATTTATCACCCGGTTTGTACTTACATGAGCAACACGACGGGTGCCACGTGTGAAGCAGGATCTGTTTACTCTACCAGAACTCCAGAGATCACCCCGGTTTTGGTGGGGTTCGTGTTGCTCATTCTTTGGTTTTCTATGATGTGTTTTGTATACTGTTGTTTGTCTTTTGATGATTTTTCGTATTTTGCCATGGCATTGTCAGGTTTTTTTATTAAAGAGTTTTGAAAGTCATTTTGGAAGTCCTTTTGGAATCTTTCGCCTCTCTTTTATTAGTTTTAAGATTCATATCCCTCTGATAGTATTTAGATTTAATTCCTTCCGTTTTACTCCTATGTGCACGTGGCAATATTGAATCTGTTTTTTATAAGAAAAAAAAATCTTAACTCTAGACTACACGTGTCGTGTACATTTTTTAAGATGATACTTACATCTTTCTACGTTGATTGTCTTCACTAGTGTCTCGTCACTTTTCCAGTTGATGAACGTATTGTTGGTGTTAATTTCTTCTAAGGTATAATTAATATCTTGGGTTTTCAACTGATGAACTATTGTTAAATCTAAAAGAAACAAAATCTGGTTTAGATTAAAAAAAACAAAAACAAAAAACAAAAAAAAACAGCAAATAAGACAATTATATTTCTATGATCAATGAGAGTCTGGGTGGGGTTCTTTGTTTCTGTATTCTCAATTTTTATGCTATAATTCTCTAATCTTTCATTTTGTTTGCCCATTATTCTCTATTCTTTATTATTTCTTCTTATCTTTTTTTATTAGCACCCTTTAATATTTTCTTTATATTTGGCCCATTTTGCGATCTTTGTATGTTTTTCACATTATTTTCATTTCTATAACCCAACCCAGACACTCATCAATGTATCACTTGTAAAATCGTCAAAGTAAACAAAAGAAGCTTTGTGTAGACCCAATTAGATAAATAAATGTTTGAAGCAACCTTTATTTTTTTGTGTGGAAAAATTCTAATATTTTCATAAGGCTGAGAACAGATTATTTAATGAATGTTTTACTTAGTATATCAACATTTACAGATTTATGTAATAATAATAAAAAAAAAAAGATGAGATAAATACATTCCATTAAGGTCCAGAAATCCAGATAACTCTCCATTTTCTGGTTGATTGTTTATTTTAATTAAGAACACGTCCAGTTTTAATAATATGAAATATTGGTGATATGCTTACATGTACAGTTTACCAATTACTGATCAAAAGTTAAAAGATTCATTAAAACTTTAAAAATATATTTTAGGATTGAATCTAATAAATATAGTCAACAGTAGTTACAGATGTTCAAATCTCATAAATAGATTAAGAAGACAATTCAGGTAACAAACAAAAACTGAGGGAATCACATGAACTACAAAAGAAGCGAGAACGAGTTTCAATAGTTTTTATAAGTATAAGTATCAAACCACTCACACAAATGATTTGTTTCCCTTTAAGAGAGATAATGTCAAAAGCACTGATGTTATTCAAAGCGTGGATTGTAAATAAACGTTTGATGCTCCTTACACAAAATCTGATTCAACAGACGACTGAAAGCGACATTACAATGGTTTGACGGTCACCATCACGAATTGGTTCATCGTTCCTGGTGAATATTAATCTACAAATTTAGATAGATTTGCACTCTGTACCAAAATAATACAATTTATCAATACACCTATGAATATCAAATTGTCAACACCCTTATTCTTATTTTATTATTATTACTTTTACTGAAAGAAACACAATTATATACTTACTGTAATTACTATGATGGTCTATCGTGGTATTGTAGGGCTGCTTAATTTGTTTGCACCATCGATGTAACACCGAACGGTATGAAGCACCATTCTCATTCAAAGCAATGTCCGTGATTACATGTTTGTTTACCTAGAAAAAGTAATACTAAATACTAAGTATTCAATTGATACGTTATGCTCATGCATGTTCATATGAGGCGGACTTCATTGGCAGAGGTGTGCTTCCAACAGGGGTTTTAGAAAGAACGATTGAAACCGACACTACATAAGTTGAACGGCTACCATCACGAATTGGTTCACCGATTCGACATGTCTGTGTCTCAGTTCACTCTCGACATGTTTTCGCCGTCTCAAATCTTTTGATACCATAATTGTCGTCTAATATTCGGATTCTCATGACGGTTGATACATGCATGCAAGGTGACGCTTGCACTGTCGACGCACTCATATTGGGGTTCATGCGATTCCCTCAGTTTATGTGTGTTACCTTAATTGGTCCTCTTATCTGATTTATGCGATTTGAACTATATATATATATATTATCTTTTACAATTAATTCTGTTCGGATTTTATTACTTTGACTTGTTTATAAAACACTTTTGAAATCTCCTAGATATGACCCCCAAGATTATATGGAGGGCATATAAGACTTCCTTCACCCAGCAGTAATACCAAAGCTATGGATTGTTTTTGGATGTATTAAAACGCAGCCACGTCCGACCAGAATATGTACATTCCGATGACTTGTTAAGGATCGAAGGATCGAATTATTGACCCTAATCAAAATACTTATTTTTACAGTTGCAGTCTAAATTTCCTGCCCTGTATTCTGAGTGACCCACTTTGCAGATCCTACCTTTCGGAGTTATTGTTCAATTGATTTTGTTCTGGAAATGCATGCAATATATTCTAATGGATGATTAGCAAACAACAATTAATCAGAGATATGAAATACGTATATATAATTTCTTTCTTATTTATGTTCTTTTTGATGATAATTACCTTAACAATGACCTCTGTAAACGGTCTCGTTATAATTTTCAACAGGTCTTTTTTCTTTCCAGATTCTGTTAAATGTAAACTTCTAACAATTGCGCTTGTCAGATGATACAAGTAATGAAACGCTATTTCTATTGGTAGGAGGATTATTACAGACAACCAGTTAAACATGTCGTGTACTGTAGCGCCACCAAATGCTTTCCGGAACTCGTCTCGATCTCCGGACTGGGTCAATGAAACTATGGTATTTGTAACTGATGTTCCAATATTGGCTCCCATTACCATTGGAATAGCAGTCTTAATAGGAATTACTAAAATGCAATGCGTAAATTCTTACTGAATTGCCATGGCAAGCATTTAATACAGAGCCTGAAAAGATTAAGTTTAAAGTTCATTTGTTTGAATTCCATGTTACATTCAGGAAATCTATACTACTAAAGGAAGAGACCAATTTCATTGAGCCGCAACTCCTCTGAAACCATACAAAGTCGGAAATATTTGTGATATGACGTATCACACAGAGACAGAACTTGACTCGCACCTTTCGAGAAAAAAAAAGAAATACTACAAACTAGCACCACTGAGAAATGTTTTAATCATCAGTGTTCTAGGTTGTCTTCTTCTTCTCTGAGTTATTTTCTCCGTTCTAGGAGCACCTGTGTAACACCGAGACAAAAGCTACTAATTGGACATTCAAACTCCTATGGAAGAAGAACTGACAAACAAATAAAAACATAATGCATCAGTGCATAAAAACAGTTTGAGAAACACCAACCCAAGCTGTGTATCACCATAAACATTACAAGTAGTCTTCAAGCCGCGCTCGCGCGGGTTTTTTCTAGTGTCTATTTAAAACAAAGATACCAGTATTAAAATGTGATACGCCTGACGATCGTTTTGTCTACATAAGACTTATCAGTGGTGCCCGACACAAAACAGTTGGGAATAAAATTCCAAAACCAAGTTAAAGAGCATTAACAATAAAAAATTTCGAAAATTTGTGCCAAATACAACTAAGCCAATCTTTGCATACGGGTAGAAATCATTAGTGTTTCAAATAATTCCAACATTTTATAAACAGTAAATTTACATGAGATAAGCATATCAATTATATTTCATGTCAACACAAGAGTGCTGAATACTGGACTGTAAAATATTACATATCACCAAAATTTTTATTTCATTGCTTGCAGCAATTAAGTCATACAAAAATGTCTTAATCCTACATATGGAAAACATTCTTTTGAGAATTTGAACATTCCGAATGTTTTAAAAGTAATGATCATGTAATTTAGAACCAAAAAAAGCTTACTATCAGATCCTACCATTGTTATGATTATTGAAGTTGTAGTGGAGGAACTCTGTAACAAAACAGTAACCAGAACTCCCATCATCAAACCAGCTACTGGGTTAGTAAGAATTTCGTTCTCTCTGAAAACCTTTCCTGCTGTTTTCCCTGAAAAATATATATCTTATATACCATATACTCGACAGTTTATTCTACGATATGGTAAAAGGTCTCAAATTATATTTTACTTGTTCTCTCTGAAAGGTTTCCTGCTGTTTTCCCATATCTTTTTAATAGTTAAGATCCATTTTGTTACATCTGGTGATCCGTTTACTTGGTAATCGCCAATGGCAGTCAGCAGGGTTTAAGAACATCCGTTGTTCGACCTGCTAGTCAAATGCGTTTTGTTGAAATATACTTTTTCACTTTTTTGGTCTTTTGGAAAATGTTGTTTGTGTTGTATTTAGACCCCTCTACCAAGAAATTTGTTTTGCATGCACACGTATAAAAATTGCGGTTTTTATCCAACGCAATCATAGGTTTGAGCGTTGTTTTCAATTAAGACTTGTTTATATTTTTTCGTTTGGGCTTGTATTATATTTGCCTTCGGGTTTATATGATCCGTTCATCCTATTTCAACTCTTCAAAATTCAAGAGTCTATCCTAAATTGAGGTAAATTATACATGGCCTTCCAAATACAGTTTCGATTCCTAACATCACTGAAGAGACATTAATGGTCGAAATCCGGATATGGTATACTAATTTTTGCACCTTTTGTTTGCGGTAAACTATCTTTTCCGCAAGTTTATTGTTTTCTGTTTGGTATTAAATTAATAGTTAAGATCCATTTTGTTACATTTGGTTATCCGTTTATTTGGCAATCGCCAATGGCAATCAGCAGGTTTTAAGAACATCCGTTGTTCGACCTGCTAGTCAAATGCGTTTTGTTAAAATATACTTTTTCACTTTTTTTGGTCTTCTGGAAAATGTTGTTTGTGCTGTATTTAGACCCCTATACCACGAAATTTGTTTTGCATGCACACGTATAAAAATTGCGGTTTTTATCCAACGCAATCAAGGGTTTGAACGTTGTTTTCAATTCAGACTTATACTGGACTGTTTTTTAATATATGATAAATGGTCTCGTATAAAATCAACATTTACTCTTTATTTTTTAGTATAATATTGTAATGGACACTGCTGATTTCAGTTTAATTTAAACATATATTGAAATGTCTGGTGTAACGAAAATGGTCTCGATTTTTACATAGAAGATACTTTATAACAATTGGGTGTCCTGAAAATTGAATGATAATTAAAATATACACAAAATTGATGTGTAACAATAAATGTTATAAGATTAATATATAAATATAAACTAGTAATGAATTATACTAAAATTTCATTCTAAATTTTTAATAAAAACAATTCTACGTATGTACATATATTACGTACCTCCAACCAACTGAAATGCATCACCAAGGAAACCAAGTGCACAAATAAATAGGTATAAAAATCCAAAAATGAATGCAATCTTGATTAAGACTGTCATGAGGTAAACAGTCCTGTCTTTACCAGTCATATCTGAAACAATAAATAATATTGGCAAAGTTCAACTCTTGACACAGTGTAAGCATAGATATATAGTTATATAAATGTCTGATCTTTAATTGTTGATGAAAAGCGATTTTGAAGCACCAAATTATAACGTGTTATTTTCATTCACTGGTTGATAGTGTTAGCAAACAATAATAATAACCCTTTTAATGCAATCTCAAAGGTGAAATCTGATTAATAAGTATTAAGAAATTATACTAAACATTTATAGAGGTATTCTGATTGAAAATAAAGCACCGACCTTTCCAAGCTGGTCCATCATCAGTTTCTTTAGTACTGACAGCCCAAGGGTCAATATGTTCTTCCATTGTTTTATCTGACACGTTCCCATTTGAATCTACTTCTACAACTACCATTGTAACCTTAAATTGAATTTGTTTTTCTCGTAAACTTCTTTTCTTGGTCATACATGTGTTAATACAAAGATTTAAAAACTAAGTAAATTTACAATTACATGGCCGAAAGAATTCCAATACAGAAAAGCATCAACAGTGAAGAGAAGACAATCAGAAAATAAGGATATTTGTGTACAGACGATTTAATACGTTTGTCTTATTGATACACAATACTAAGTTCTTCCTATATTTACTCTTATATAAAGGAAGGCTATATATGTCCGATGAAAATTTTGTTTTATTGATCTTTCAATAATCCTCTTATTTTCTCATTTTGAGCTTTCTTTTAAAAACGGACGTATATTCTTATATCTTACGTAATTCTGAATCATTGCAAGAGATAAAAATAAAACAAAACTATTTACCTGTTTTGTTTCGTAATCCATTATTGTTCTTGTTCTTGCTTAACAAGGAACTTCCTTTTTGGAAATGCATATTTATAACTGAATTGGCTGCTTTTATACTTTCAGAACTTAATAACATTTCGTCTTAAAGGTCAAGGTAAATACTGACAGATTGAAACGTGCTGATTTTCAAATCTCAGGACGATTTGTAAGAAAATAAAACTATATCGCATCCATTATTTAATTTGGCATCATTAAAATAATAAAAGTATATTTTGGTTATCCATTTCCAGATTTCTACATTTGTTTTTTATATTATACACTAGAACTTTTTTCTTGAGCATATAAATGTATAAATTTAAAATGAGTGATAAGGATTAAATAATTTTATCTCCAAGGAAAAAAATCACACCAAGTCAGTTATCGTCGTGATTGATAACTTATCTCACAATTTATTCTATCAAGAAATAATCCTTCAAAATGTAATAATTATTTACAAAATTATAAATGTTAGTATTTTCTAATTGTACAAATAATATAAAAAGTAAGATAAAAAATACCGAACTCTAAAGAAAATACAAAACGGAACGTCCCTTACCAAATGGCAAAATCAAATGCTCAAACAAATCAAACGAATGAAAAACAACTGTTATATTCCTCACTTGGTACAGGCATTTCCATATGTAAAAAATGGTGAATTAAACTGGCCTGGTTTCATAGCTAGCTAAACCTCTCACTTGTATGACAGACGCATAAAATTTCATTATATTGACAACAATGTGTGAGCAAAACACTTTTTTTTACTTTATTTAATGTATACAAGTAAGAAAATATTGATAAGATTTAATTGAAACTTAAAAAGAAGAAAAAAACTTGTATGAAAGGAAAAAATAAGCCAGATATTTTTTAAATTACTCAAAATGAAAGTATTTCTTTTTTATTTATTTATATTTTTATTATTTCTAGATCAGAGGAGGCGGTTCTGTAACTTCATTTTAAATATTATTTTATTCAAATTCTGACTTTTTGTTGTCTTTGAACATTCTATTGAAACAATAAAATACCTCGTCTGTGTATTATTCTTTTTTTTCTTTATAATGCTTAGAAATAATTTAGGAAAAAATCATTCACACTGAACATATTTATTTTAAGATCAGTACCATTGTTCTAGACATGTTCAAAGTGTGTTTTTATTTAGATCAGGAACATATATATTGACATAGATATACTGTTCCCAGTTTGGATTTAATTTTTCTTTTAATCTTTCTTTAGTTCGTATTTAACGGCATTTCAATAATAATCTTCTTTGACTTTCTACAGATCATTCCGAAATGACTTTTTTCGTGTAAGCCTTAAAATCAATCAACACTGTCTACCTTCCAATGCACGTGCGTTTACCTTTTTTTTTATCAGTTTTTCACTCACACTTGCGCTGTGCGGTTGCCGAATTTCTAACGAGATGTCTCGTGCTTAAGGTCTGTGCATACTGAAAAGCTGTCGGCGAATAAGAAGAGTACGGGAAGACAATAATTCAATAGCAGTAACTTTCTGAAGATTTGGATTAGATAAAGGATTTTCTCTTACAATGAAGTTGATGTACACTTGTTTTAGAGTGAGACTTAGCTGTTCAAGTATATAAAACATATTCACCTTTTTTCACCTTTTTTTTTAAGTTTGACGTATCATATGACTTTAAGGAGTCGTCTGCTAATTAAAGATATGAAACAATTAATGCATTTTACCCTTATGTTCTATATTTAGCCATGGCGACTATGTTTGTTGACTGCCTCAAAAACAAGTTGTTTAAAAAAAAAAAAAAGACAATACGTGAACCTTAGAACTTTTTTATTCTAATTATTAATTCAACTGAATAAGAAATTATATATCAGTGTTATCTTGGCCATGTATGTGGAGGATAATATTTTCTTTTTATTGTAAATCATTACAATTTTGGCATGTTGAGATAAGTGTTAAATATAAAGCAAGGAGAGAAAAAAAAAGATTCCCAAACGTATAATTTCTTAAAGAATAATAATAATTCAAAACATGGAGGACACATGTACCTTCTTCCAAAAATTCATAAAATTAATCTAGAAATAAGTAATGAGGCATTGCGAACTGGTCAGCTAACAGGACACATTAATGTTCGTTGCCGACCAATCATCAATAAGTGTAACTCTCCCGCGAGAGATACTTACTTGATCTAATTATAAATATAAAAAAGAAGATGTGGTATGATTGCCAATGAGACAACTCTCCACAAGAGACCAAATGACACAGAAATTAACAACTATAGGCCACCGTACGGCCTTCAACAATGAGCAAAGCCCATACCGCATAGTCAGCTATAAAAGGCTCCGAAATGACAAATGTAAAACAATTCAAACGAGAAAACTAACGGCCTAATTTATGTACAAAAAATGAACGAAAAACAAATATGTAACACATCAACCACTGCATTACAGGCTCCTGACTTGGGACAGGCAAATACATACAGAATGTGGCGGGGTTAAACATGTTAGCGGGATCCCAATCCTCCCCTAACCTGGGACAGTGGTGTAACAGTACAACAATAGAACGAACTATAAAAATCAGTTGAAAAAGGATTAACTCATCAGATGGATACGAACAGAAATACTACACTGAGTGGACGTGGCCGAGTACTTGTATATCCCAACAACAAATAGACACTAAGTATACAGATCTGAGAGTACTCGCAGTTACTGACAGCTAGTTCAAAGCCACTAACAACTAATTAAAAAAATCATGCATCTAAGACTAAATTATCAATCCGTACACATCCAACATCCAATTATTGAAGAGGCATAACTTTTACATTCAAGATACAAAAAAAATCATTAATAAAATAGAGTCACACGAGGTAAAAAAGTATGCATTCTTATTGCCTATGAAGTACGTCAATGTACACAAATATGATCATTGATAATTTAGAAGAAACTGTTATTAATGCATTAGAATTTATTGACACACAGGAGAATATACTTTAAAGATTCTCAACAAAATAGATTTAACTGCATTTGTTAAATTAATTCTTAGAAACAACGAATTTGAGTTAAATGGACTGTTATACAAACACATTATAAGAGCGCCCATGGGTGGTATATTGTCACCAACATGCATAGATCTGCATCTGTCTGCCCTATTCATTAAAATCTTAATCTTATTTATTAATAGCCTATTGTATTACTATGATAAGTTCCAATGGAGAGAAAACATCAAATTACACTGTCAATAGGGATGACGGTTTTATGGTCTTCACAGGCAAATTAGAGCAAGTTGAAGATTTCTTTAACCTTGCAAACGAATTGACCATCTACTTAAGTTCTAATATGAGGTGTCGACATCTAGTATGGCCTATTTAGAGGGTGGTAAAAGGTTATTTTCGTGCAACGTTTTCGGCCCTTTTATTTCACGTGTTTCCGTGTTTCGACGCTTTATTTCTCGTTTTCTCGTGTTTGGTTCGATGTGCTTGCTTCGTGTTTTCCCTTAATTATTTTCCGTGTTTCGTGTCGGTACTCTTATTTTCTCGTGCTTGTCCTGCATTTGATTAAAAAGTAAACCGATACTTATTAAAAGTCAGCCCAAATATTGTTTTAAATCATAAACTAATTAACTGGTCCCAAGATATTTATTAATAGCCTATTGTATTACTATGATAAATCGGATGCAACTAACGGACGATAAAAGGTGACCACATGCAGGGTCGCCATGTCCATTTATAATGACTGCATGATCTCCAAGAACGGCTGAGTAATAACTTTTGGTACTTTTTCCCTTAATATTTACGATTTTATTCCTTGGCTTCGTTTTTCCAGAGTTTTTTTTCCGTGCAACGTTTTTGCGATTTGTTATTTCACGTGTTTCCGTGTTCAGACCCTCCCTTTTATCACCCTCTATTTAGATACCGAAGTGTACAAAAGTGAACGATTCCATAACAATGGAATTCTTGATGTTTAAGTCACATATATTAAAAACACAGAAACGTATCAATATTTACCAATCACTAGTGCAAATCCAAAACACACATAAATTTAAGAGCATTACAGTGTGTGAATAATATAAGAAATTTCTACTTCTACCACTAAGTGACCACCGTCATTTGGTTGACTATCTTGTCACTGTTTGGTGTGCGCTTGCATACTTAACAAGTCCAAAAATAATTTTAACAGAAAGGAAATAATTTGTGCTGTACATAACATTTGTACATGGTGCAAATAAAAACATGGGACTTGAAATTTAATGTGCATGTAATAGTCTCTTGAACGAGTCAAGACTTTCTGCAGCGGTCACTGAAATAATAGTGACATCGATGAATTAAATTTACATTTAACTAACTTACAAGATAACTTAATGGATTGAGAATACTGTAAAAAGGAAACAGTAAAAGTTGTAAAAATGTATTTTAACGAACAGTCTTTATTTTACTTGTTTTATTTTCATTTGAAACAGATTTTTTTTATCTGATTTGTCAACAACTGTCAACTTTGCTCAAGTCAGTACACCCTTGCAGTGCATAAAATGTAGCTTAACAATAAATATACATGTTTGAAAAGGATCTATAGATTGTTTATTATCATATATCAGATAAGTG